CACTGGCCACGTGACAACGGAAACTGTCTTCGGACAAACGCTGGCTCTATAGCTTGGAAACGGGGATGAGCACCGCCCCCTAGAGTCAAACACAACTGACTAAAATGTCAAGGGGAACCTTTACCTGTACAATTAAGTCCTCTTCAACTTAATATTCTCACCGTACCACCCCTAATGTCTATGGAGATCTGTACTGTGCTGATGGTTCAGATCAAGCAACCTGTTTACAACAGCAGTCAGATGGATGGGTCAATGTTTCATTTTTAGGAACAGGGGAAAGAATATGCCACAAGAAGGTTTAATAATAAACTCTTTGGTTAACTTGTACATCTGACTGCTGCAAATATACATTTCTCTTGACAATGTCTTAAGAGCATAAAGATCAAGTAACTGTTTCCTCCTGAAAACATGAAATGGTGCTCATTAAGAAACAAAACGCTAGTGGTTGCTTTCGCAAGATATTTATTTCGGGTTTAACACTCCTTTGGTACAGAGGTTCTTCTTTCTGCTGGGACCACTTTAAGTGTATCGATTAGCTCAAGCAGAAACCTTTTGATCTTTAAAAAGTGGTCTTGATAAACTGGGAAGCAGTTGTGGGGGAGGGGCAGCACCAGAACACAATTCTAGAAGACAGTATTCCCTTCTCTCTTCCACACAGAAAAGAATAACTTTTCAAGGATGGCATCTGACAGAACATTCATAAACACAGTATGTTCTTTGCCTTCTGAACTTTTGCTTCTATTCAACCACATAGTGACTGAATCAATAATATCTTTATTGGCACGTAAAATATTTTTAAAACCCTCAATTTTTTGGCCCAATGCTTTGGTGGCTGCACAGTGTCCCCTGCCAGTGGCTGAGATCATAGGGAATAATATCCATAATTACAACTAGAAAAGAGTAGCAATCACAGTTGTTTCTTATCCTTCACTTTGGGATTTAAAGGGCAGGCAGCATAGCACAGCACCTAAGTATTTCCCATTATGATTGCTCTCTCTATAACCATTGCCCAACCTGGCCAGGACTGATAAGAATTTTCATCCAAAATACCTGGATAACACTAGGCTGCCTACTCCTCCTACACAGATAACTAAAGTGTACGAACTAAATCTCAGACCTGCTTGTTGGCTTAATATCTCTGAAATGGGTGCCGAACTTTGGAGAGGGGCGAAAACAACAGATTTATGTGGTGAACAGATGTCTGTTGTGAAGGCGAGAGACAGGTCAAGGCCCATTCTGGTGACTTGAGGCACAAAATCCAGATGCCCATCTTAGTGTAGTGCTAAAAAATAATAATGCTAAATTAAATAATTGGAGCAGGTTTAAGTTATTTTTAATTTCTCTGAAATGTCTAGCATTTTTATTCATTAAAAAAAACTAATACTATCTGCAACCTTTTTAAAGGTTAACTGCACTCTGCTGTGTAAGGCAGTGTGCCTCAGCTTACTTTACATGTCTGGATCATGTACAAAACAGTCATTGATGATGGAAAATATCAACTATGCAAGTAAGCCTCAAAATATGGTGGTTAACCAGGAGGAACTATACCATCATTGTTGTACTTACTACTGGAATACAAAACATCTATTTTGTCTGTATCCATGCTTTTTATGGTGTGTTCCAGAATGCCTTCCTGTTGCAAGCAGAGCACACCTAGACCACAATTAAAAACAGTCATTAACAGCCCTTAGTGCCACTTCTTCAATATTTTAAAAAAGTTATTAGGAAGAGCAATAGTACAAACTGGTTTGTTTAAACAAGTTTTGGAAAGGAGCTATGCAAAGAACTATAAAAATAAGCTTTATATTTTTTTTTAAAAAAATGAGATATGATTACATCTCTTTAGGTCTGCATAACCAAATATGGCAAGCATTAGAGTTCCAGAACAGACACCAGGGTCCTAATTTGGTTAGACAAATGGAATGTTGAACGATCTGATCTCATTTATCTAAGGGATGGAGATGGTTCCCAGGCTAAATACGTGTACTAACATTATATGAAAGGGCGTTGCTCATAGAAATACCTATGAGGTAGGCGAGATGAAGTTTTATCCTCACAGAACTTTCCAGTCTAAGGAGCCATCATATTCATTTCCTCTTGGCCTTGGCCTTGTGGTGCTGCCAGGTCTGGTTGAGGTAGCCCAGTCGCTTGTAGTTGAGAAACAGGAGGGCAAAGTTAAGGACGTATGTAGTAACGCAAATCACACAGAAGTCATGGAGCACAAAGAAGAGGATGTAGGCCAGGTAGAGCGAGCCAGCGATGGAGACTACTGAAGAGCCCAACAGAGTAATGGCTGCCAGACTGCTGTTGGAGAAGCCTGTGAGAAACAAGTGGTCTGGGTTATCTTGTGATCAACTGCAGAAGTGCAAATTATTTGAATTAAACTCAAAAGAAGAACCAGCTTTCGACTTCTTGCCTGCCCCATCCCAACTAAGAATTCCCGATTTTTATAATTAAAATTGTCTGAAAAACATTTCTCTACAGAGTTCCTACCTGCCTTTTCCTCCAAGAAGGGAGTTCCAAACCTGCTTTCTCAGCCCTCCCCACTTTTGTTCCTTTTCAAATTCCTGGTTACAATAGATGAGATCCAAAACTGGACTTCACGAAGGCAGGCGTTGGCCCTACAGCCTGAGGTTCCCCACCTCGCTGCAATGACACACACACCACATGTAACTAACTGCACATAATTTGCATTCTGTTAAATGTACATGTAAATTGTTCATTTGCTACCAAACTCAATTCAATTCTTCTTTGAATTCCTTATGTAAAAGAAACACATTTTTGTCTACATAAGAGTGGGCCTTTTCTACTGTAGCTCTCTGCTCTGGAACGCCTTTCTGAAGGAAATATATCTGATCCCAACATTGTCCTTTTTTGTATATTTTTCATTTGCCAAAGCATGTTCAGTTTTAAACCACACTTATTTTGCTTTGAAATAACAGGCTAAGTTGGTATACTACTTTATTTTATTGTTCTTCTTTGGGATGAAGAATATATGTATCACTTACCAAGAAGTATTTGCAAAAGGTAGAATGCAATCCCAAAAATGCTATTAGGTTGGTTGAACACACTGTGAGGTCCCAAGAGGCCTGCCACCAAGCCAAAACCACGACCCCACCTAAAAGATAGGATTGAGACAGACAGGTCGAAAAACATACCATTAAGACCCTGTCCACAGTAGCATATAGATATGGTACAAGTCTAGCTAAGGGCTTGATTTAGATCAGGAAAAAAAGACCTGCATCTGCTTGTTTCCACTTAGAAGAGTCCATCCTTCCCCTTTAAGAGCTGTCCCACATCTTTCTGGAACATCACTAGGGCATGTATTCTTTTCCCCCTGACAGGAGTCTAGTCTTACTATTTCCCACAAGACTTATTTCTAAAGTATTATTGGTAACCACTCAAAGCATTTTCCATCTACCATTCCCACATTATAGCAATTTTGGATTGCCTAAGGCAGGAGTAAGGATCTAAGGCCTCGCTAGATTTTACTGGACTACACATAGTCATCAGTCTCAACCCACATAGCCAATAATGAAGGATTATGGGAGCTGAAGTCCAAAAACAACAACCATGTACTGTAATTGGATCATACATTCCCCATCCCACTAGGTCAGAGACAATGGATTTACTGCCATGGGTCACACAAAGGAGCTAAAAGGTCAGTGATAAAGCATATATCTTCCCAGCATTAAACACACCATCATCTTACCCATTTTAGTTAGTTACAGCACTTTAGCAGAGACAAACCATGTCACTTCTGATGTTTACAAAGGCCAGGAGGTCTCTCCCCTCTCACTTTCCTCACTCAAATAACAGGAAGGTCAATAACCCCCAGCGGTCTTTTCCTAATATTTGTAGAAGATTCTGAAACCTCTTGCCACTTGACCCCATTGCCTCACTTTTACTCTCTGCAAGAGACTCTTTTCTCCCTTGTGCCGAAAGGCAAACAAGATTCAGAAGTGCACCGGGGGGGGGGCTTCTTGAGCAACAGTTTTTGGGCAAGCCCTGCAGAAAAGATCAGCTTTGGATGGGGAAGATCCAGGTTCAGATCTCCTCTCTGGTAGGCAACTGCATGCAGGGGAGCAAAAGTGCGCAGGTACGTCCTGCTCCCTCCATGGTGCAAATATGGGGCGTGTATGTCAGAGGTGGGTCTTGAGACCCCCCTATGACAGCAGCAGGCACCGGGGCTCCCACCCACCTGGAGGTGAAGACGCGGGAGCAGCTGATGGCCGCGTTGATGTCGCACATGGCCTGGTAGGAGGCGTCCCGCTCCTTGGAGGTCTCCACGTGGAAGGCGTAAACAGACAGCGCCAAGCCCGCGGCGCAGAGCAGGATCCGGGCGGCGCGCTCCCAGCCGGGCACTGCCATCCTCCTGCCGCCTCGCCAGCCACCGAGAGAGACCAAGCCGAGCCACGTCCGGGCTCTGCAAGAAACCACACCCACCCTTCCACGAATGCCAGTTGGCCAATCAAGGCGCAAGGGGAGGGGGAAAGAAGCAGGGAATGCTGGAGGTTGTAGTTTAATGTGCGCGCGAGAATGCTTGCGCCACAGTCTGAGAGGAGGCGCATGCGTGCGGGTGTTTACCTCAGTATCTGAGGAAATGGTTTGAGAGTGGCTACCTTTTAAGCTTTACGTATTTAAAACACGCCTCTGCCGTGCTCTCACAGTGTTCTCAGGACGGTTGGCAGCTAAGATTAAATGCAAGCAAATTAAACAGGGAAATACCACATCACAAAAGTGGTTTTCTCAGGTGGAGCCTCATGTGTTGTATTTGGGATATGCTGCTGATCCCTGTGATTTCCTCAAATGAAGGGAGCTCAGTTGCATAGCTTATGTTGATGAGAGATTTCTCTTGTGATTAATCCTGCTTTTTCTAGGTTTTTTTTTTCATTTCTGTTTTCTCATCAGGACCTATGTTATAGGTAGACAAGTCCTGATGATGTTTTATATCCTATTCTTTTTCCCCCCTCTGTGGTAAGGATTCAGGGCAAATGGAGTTACCATTATCAGGAGCTAAGGGGCTGCATTGATTCCTTTTATCTTTTCTTTGTTGCTGGAAAGAGAAAGAGGGGAAAGGCCATCTGAGACCCCTTGAATTTTCAAAGGCAGTGCAGGTGAGGGGATTGCTTTTCCCCAAGATGGTATGGGGAACTGTGTTTTGCAAGATGATGTCTTCTATGGATAATTTTGATAAGATAGTGATTTTTTTCCCCAATTGGAAGGCATTAAATAGATTTCAATGCATTCCAATGGGAAACTGGGTTTCACAAGATGTTTTCCCAAGACAGTGATTTCCATGGAATGAATTAAAATCATCTAGCGAGGCAGCATTGTAAGCCCATCCCACCTAATTAGGACACTCTGTGTGCCAATTAGTCTTTGGTCACCCAAGGGCAGGATCTATAGTTTAGAGAGGACTGCTCATTGCATCTATGTATATAAGGAAAAATATTTAGAATCTGTCTTTCATGATGAACACTTTGTGTAAACAGCTCACAGTCATGCCAGTTCATTTTATTGTTTAAAATAGTCTGCACTTTCAATGGCAATATCTTGTGCCATCTTCATCAAAGCAACTCAAACAATATCAACTCAAGCAAAGCTAATCTTAAATCCCTCCAGATACCATAAAAACCAATTGGGTAGACATTTTTTGGGGGGGGAACCAGGCAGATTAACATTGAAGAGCCAGTCCTCTGTGTTGGTCAGCATTCTATAAGGGCAACCTGCCAAATCTATACAGTTTACAAAACAAAGGCTTCCAGCAAGCATTAAAAGTAATGCTACTATCTCTGTGGATGGAATGTGGCTCAAGTTTTATCAAGAGAGACTCAATAATAACTCTATCCCAAAATTGACTGGTTTTGGCCAATACATGTACAATTAAGGGACGTGGTGGCGCTGCGGGCTAAACTGCAGAAGCCTGTGTGTGCTGCAGGGTCAGAAGACCAGCAGTTGTAAGATCGAATCCACGCGATGGAGTGAGCTCCCATCGCGTTGTCCCAGCTCCTTACCAACCTGGCAGTTCGAAATGTGAGTAGATAAATGTGAGTAGATAAATAGGTACCATCTCGGTGGGAAGGTAAACAGCGTTCCGCATCTAAGTCGCGCTGGCCACGTGACAACGGAAACTGTCTTCGGACAAACGCTGGCTCTATAGCTTGGAAACGGGGATGAGCACCGCCCCCTAGAGTCAAACACAACTGACTAAAATGTCAAGGGGAACCTTTACCTGTACAATTAAGTCCTCTTCAACTTAATATTCTCACCGTACCACCCCTAATGTCTATGGAGATCTGTACTGTGCTGATGGTTCAGATCAAGCAACCTGTTTACAACAGCAGTCAGATGGATGGGTCAATGTTTCATTTTTAGGAACAGGGGAAAGAATATGCCACAAGAAGGTTTAATAATAAACTCTTTGGTTAACTTGTACATCTGACTGCTGCAAATATACATTTCTCTTGACAATGTCTTAAGAGCATAAAGATCAAGTAACTGTTTCCTCCTGAAAACATGAAATGGTGCTCATTAAGAAACAAAACGCTAGTCGTTGCTTTCTCAAGATATTTATTTCGGGTTTAACACTCCTTTGGTACAGAGGTTCTTCTTTCTGCTGGGACCACTTTAAGTGTATCGATTAGCTCAAGCAGAAACCTTTTGATCTTTAAAAAGTGGTCTTGATAAACTGGGAAGCAGTTGTGGGGGAGGGGCAGCACCAGAACACAATTCTAGAAGACAGTATTCCCTTCTCTCTTCCACACAGAAAAGAATAACTTTTCAAGGATGGCATCTGACAGAACATTCATAAACACAGTATGTTCTTTGCCTTCTGAACTTTTGCTTCTATTCAACCACATAGTGACTGAATAAATAATATCTTTATTGGCATGTAAAATATTTTTAAAACCCTCAATTTTTTGGCCCAATGCTTTGGTGGCTGCACAGTGTCCCCTGCCAGTGGCTGAGATCATAGGGAATAATATCCATAATTACAACTAGAAAAGAGTAGCAATCACAGTTGTTTCTTATCCTTCACTTTGGGATTTAAAGGGCAGGCAGCATAGCACAGCACCTAAGTATTTCCCATTATGATTGCTCTCTCTATAACCATTGCCCAACCTGGCCAGGACTGATAAGAATTTTCATCCAAAATACCTGGATAACACTAGGCTGCCTACTCCTCCTACACAGATAACTAAAGTGTACGAACTAAATTTCAGACCTGCTTGTTGGCTTAATATCTCTGAAATGGGTGCCGAACTTTGGAGAGGGGCGAAAACAACTTTATGTGGTGAACAGATGTCTGTTGTGAAGGCGAGAGACAGGTCAAGGCCCATTCTGGTGACTTGAGGCACAAAATCCAGATGCCCATCTTAGTGTAGTGCTAACTAAAAATAATGCTAAATTAAATAATTGAACCATGGAGCAGGTTTAAGTTATTTTTAATTTCTCTGAAATGTCTAGCATTTTTATTCATTAAAAAAAACTAATACTATCTGCAACCTTTTTAAAGGTTAACTGCACTCTGCTGTGTAAGGCAGTGTGCCTCAGCTTACTTTACATGTCTGGATCATGTACAAAACAGTCATTGATGATGGAAAATATCAACCATGCAAGTAAGCCTCAAAATATGGTGGTTAACCAGGAGGAACTATACCATCATTGTTGTACTTACTACTGGAATACAAAACATCTATTTTGTCTGTATCCATGCTTTTTAGGGTGTGTTCCAGAATGCCTTCCTGTTGCAAGCAGAGCACACCTAGACCACAATTAAAAACAGTCATTAACAGCCCTTAGTGCCACTTCTTCAATATTTTAAAAAAGTTATTAGGAAGAGCAATAGTACAAACTGGTTTGTTTAAACAAGTTTTGGAAAGGAGCTATGCAAAGAACTATAAAAATAAGCTTTATATTTTTTTTTAAAAAAATGAGATATGATTACATCTCTTTAGGTCTGCATAACCAAATATGGCAAGCATTAGAGTTCCAGAACAGACACCAGGGTCCTAATTTGGTTAGACAAATGGAATGTTGAACGATCTGATCTCATTTATCTAAGGGATGGAGATGGTTCCCAGGCTAAATACGTGTACTAACATTATATGAAAGGGCGTTGCTCATAGAAATACCTATGAGGTAGGCGAGATGAAGTTTTATCCTCACAGAACTTTCCAGTCTAAGGAGCCATCATATTCATTTCCTCTTGGCCTTGGCCTTGTGGTGCTGCCAGGTCTGGTTGAGGTAGCCCAGTCGCTTGTAGTTGAGAAACAGGAGGGCAAAGTTAAGGACGTATGTAGTAACGCAAATCACACAGAAGTCATGGAGCACAAAGAAGAGGATGTAGGCCAGGTAGAGCGAGCCAGCGATGGAGACTACTGAAGAGCCCAACAGAGTAATGGCTGCCAGACTGCTGTTGGAGAAGCCTGTGAGAAACAAGTGGTCTGGGTTATCTTGTGATCAACTGCAGAAGTGCAAATTATTCAAATTAAACTCAAAAGCAGAACCAGCTTTCGACTTCTTGCCTGCCCCATCCCAACTAAGAATTCCCAATTTTTATAATTAAAATTGTCTAAAAAACGTTTCTCTACAGAGTTCCTATCTGCCTTTTCCTCCAAGAAGGGAGTTCCACCCTACTTTCTCAGCCCTCCCCACTTTTGTTCCTTTTCAAATTCCTGGTTACAATAGATGAGATCCAAAACTGGACTTCACGAAGGCAGGCGTTGGCCCTACAGCCTGAGGTTCCCCACCTCGCTGCAATGACACACACACCACATGTAACTAACTGCACATAATTTGCATTCTGTTAAATGTACATGTAAGTTGTCCATTTGCTATCAAACTCAATTCAATTCTTCTTTGAATTGCTTATATAAAAGAAACACATTTTTGTCTACATAAGAGTGGGCCTTTTCTACTGTAGCTCTCTGCTCTGGAACGCCTTTCTGAAGGAAATATATCTGATCCCAACATTGTCCTTTTTTGTATATTTTTCATTTGCCAAAGCATGTTCAGTTTTAAACCACACTTATTTTGCTTTGAAATAACAGGCTAAGTTGGTATACTACTTTATTTTATTGTTCTTCTTTGGGATGAAGAATATATGTATCACTTACCAAGAAGTATTTGCAAAAGGTAGAATGCAATCCCAAAAATGCTATTAGGTTGGTTGAACACACTGTGAGGTCCCAAGAGGCCTGCCACCAAGCCAAAACCACGACCCCACCTAAAAGATAGGATTGAGACAGACAGGTCGAAGAACATACCATTAAGACCCTGTCCACAGTAGCATATAGATATGGTACAAGTCTAGCTAAGGGCTTGATTTAGATCAGGAAAAAAAGACCTGCATCTGCTTGTTTCCACTTAGAAGAGTCCATCCTTCCCCTTTAAGAGCTGTCCCACATCTTTCTGGAACATCACTAGGGCATGTATTCTTTTCTCCCTGACAGAAGTCTAGTCTTACTATTTCCCACAAGACTTATTTCTAAAGTATTATTGGTAACCACTCAAAGCATTTTCCATCTACCATTCCCACATTATAGCAATTTTGGATTGCCTAAGGCAGGAGTAAGGATCTAAGGCCTCTCCAGATTTTACTGGACTACACATAGTCATCAGTCTCAACCCACATAGCCAATAATGAAGGATTATGGGAGCTGAAGTCCAAAAACAACAACAACCATGTAGTTATGGGAGCTGAAGTCCAAAAACAACAACCATGTACTGTAATTGGATCATACATTCCCCATCCCACTAGGTCCCAGACAATCTGCTGGATCATACATTCCCCATCCCACTAGGTCAGAGACAATGGATTTACTGCCATGGGTCACACAAAGGAGCTAAAAGGTCAGTGATAAAGCATATATCTTCCCAGCATTAAACACACCATCATCTTACCCATTTTAGTTAGTTACAGCGCTTTAGCAGAGACAAACCATGTCACTTCTGGTGTTTACAAAGCCCAGGAGGTCTCTCCCTCTCACTTTCCTCACTCAAATACCAGGACGGTCAATAACCCCCAACGGTCTTTTCCTAATATTTGTAGAAGATTCTGAAACCTCTTGCCACTTGACCCCATTGCCTCACTTTTACTCTCTGCAAGAGACTCTTTTCTCCCTTGTGCCGAAAGGCAAACAAGATTCAGAAGTGCACCGGGGGGGGGGCTTCTTGAGCAACAGTTTTTGGGCAAGCCCTGCAGAAAAGATCAGCTTTGGATGGGGAAGATCCAGGTTCAGATCTCCTCTCTGGTAGGCAACTGCATGCAGGGGAGCAAAAGTGCGCAGGTACGTCCTGCTCCCTCCATGGTGCAAATATGGGGCGTGTATGTCAGAGGTGGGTCTTGAGACCCCCCTATGACAGCAGCAGGCACCGGGGCTCCCACCCACCTGGAGGTGAAGACGCGGGAGCAGCTGATGGCCGCGTTGATGTCGCACATGGCCTGGTAGGAGGCGTCCCGCTCCTTGGAGGTCTCCACGTGGAAGGCGTAAACAGACAGCGCCAAGCCCGCGGCGCAGAGCAGGATCCGGGCGGCGCGCTCCCAGCCGGGCACTGCCATCCTCCTGCCGCCTCGCCAGCCACCGAGAGAGACCAAGCCGAGCCACGTCCGGGCTCTGCAAGAAACCACACCCACCCTTCCACGAATGCCAGTTGGCCAATCAAGGCGCAAGGGGAGGGGGAAAGAAGCAGGGAATGCTGGAGGTTGTAGTTTAATGTGCGCGCGAGAATGCTTGCGCCACAGTCTGAGAGGAGGCGCATGCGTGCGGGTGTTTACCTCAGTATCTGAGGAAATGGTTTGAGAGTGGCTACCTTTTAAGCTTTACGTATTTAAAACACGCCTCTGCCGTGCTCTCACAGTGTTCTCAGGACGGTTGGCAGCTAAGATTAAATGCAAGCAAATTAAACATGAATTTCATAAGTGGAAATGTATATTTTAAGAAAAGATAAGAGGCAGATTGAAAAGCCAAAATGAGGTTTTTCTGATGGCTGCAGAATTGTATCAGCATAAGCATGACGTACCTCTCACTAGAGGTACATATTACATTGCTCAGGTGTCTTGCGGAAAAGGTTGTTTCAGCACACACACACACCGAACCAGAAGTTAACCCAGGGGGTGCACTCAGAGAAGAGTCTCTGAAGGAGACCTTGCAGTGGTTCTTAACCTTGGGTTACTCAGGTGTTTTTGAACTGCAACTCCCAGAAACCCCAGCCAGCACAGCTTGTGGTGAAAGCTTCTGGGAGTTGCAGTCCAAAAACACCTGAGTAACCCAAGGTTAAGAACCACTGGACCAGTGGATCTGAAGGAAGATGATCCTTCAGGAAACAGTGTGAATCTGTACTACTCTGCCCCATCTACTGATTTTGACACTTGAGATGATTGAAGAACTGTTTCACTTCTCATTTCTGGAAATCATGTTCGAGGACATACTTAAAATCGGGCCTAGGCATTTTATTTTTGTCTCCAAGTTTCCCTCACCTTTATTTCTCTGTTGCCATAAGATCTGGTTCTAGCTGAAGCTTGAAGATACAATTTTCATTCCTTGGCTGTATTTTCTAAATCCCTCCTTGACATAACATTATTATTTACAAGATTTTTTTAGCCGCATTATTTCCAATGGTCTCTGAGCGGTGTACAACAATATTAAAATGTTTTTGTTGTTTAGTCGTTAAGTCGTGTCCGACTCTTCGTGACCCCATGGACCAGAGCACGCCAGGTCCTCCGGTCTTCCACTGTCTCCCGGAGTTGGGTCAAATTCATGTTGGTCGCTTCGATGACAATTTAGAAAACATTAAAACCATTAAAAATAGGCAATATTATAATAATACCCTATATTAAAACAGTATCATTAATATTAATAAATCCTGCTGCTCATACGGCCAGCTAAGGGATACTATTTAATGAAAATGCTGGCTAAACAGAAAGGTCTTTGCCTGGCACCGAAAAAGCAACATCCTTTTTAGAAATCAATCCTTATAGTGAGAGTTGAGTGGTAAAGCTGTAACAGGGCTAGGAAACCCGTGACCCTCCAAGTATTGTAAAACTTCAACCCCTATCATACCAGCCAGGATGGCCAGTGGTTAGGCATGATGGGAACTAGCAATAAAATAAAATAAAACAGGTTCCCTGTTCCTGCTATAATAGATGGTCAAAATATGGCACCTACCATGGGGAAAAAACCCACCAATGAGTGAGAAACTGAGTGCCCTTCACATTTCTCAACCAGAGTGCAAAAAGTACGGTGTGAATGCTTAGTGTCCAGCTGTCCCATCCCTACAAGATAGTTTACATTTTAAATATATATATAGTTCTGCGAACAGACATTACACTGCTTTCACATGTTATCAAGGACATGGGTTCAAAGCTGCTGACGACTGTTATGACGACACCAGACTGGATGTGCTAGCTAGCTATGAGAACCTTGCTGATGTTGGATAAGAATCTTGTCGCATATTAAACTTTACAATAAATCTGTCTCTCAAGCAGGGCTATGGAATCTGCGGCTTTCCAGATGTTGATGAATTATTAATCCCATTGTGTGTCATCCCGACTGGCCAGGCCAACTGGGACTCTCAGGAACTGGGAATCCGATCTTTTATGGGCCATGGGTACCTCTGGCTAAATATAAGGGTTGAACCATGGCAAACGATACAAGACTCTTGGTTGGTTTTGCTGTGACAATCTTATGTGGCTTGGGTCCAGGCTATCTGAAGGACCGTATCCTCCAATATGAGCTGCCCCACTCTTAAGATCTTCAGGGAAGGCCTTCTCTCTCCCCTGCCACCTCACAAACATGTTTCCAGAGAAAGTATGAGGTTGTCCTTTCCAGCGGGTGTTCTCAAGTTATGGAAAGCCCATGGGGAGCTAGGTTAGCCCCTTCTCTCACATCTGTCAGGCTTTTCACAACTGAATTGGACAATGAAGAGTTTTGACTTTGGGATACTGCATGCTACGATTGTGGTTATTCTTATATGTGTTTTAGTGATAAGGTGTTTTTAGTTGCTCGAAACTAATTGTTTTAATTTTATAGTCTTAGACCTACAGAGCTGAAGTAGACCTTATGGATAAGAACGTAAGAACAGCCCTGCTGGATCAGGCCAAGGGCCCATCTAGTCCAGCTTCCTGTATCTCACAGTGGCCCCATCAGATGCCTGTGGGAGCACATGAAACAACGAGATACCTGGCTCCTGATATACCTCCCTTGCATCTGGCATTTGGAGGTCCCTTCCTTTGAATCCTGGAGATATATCCTCATAATGGCTTATAACCTGCAATGGACTTTCCTCCAGAAATTCGTCCCATATCCTTTGAAAGGCATCTAGGCCAGATGCCATCACCACATCCTGCGGCAAGGAGTTCCACAGACATAACATGGTGGGTGAAGACATATTTTCTTTTGTCTGTTCTCTCTCAATACTCAATTTGAGTTAATGTTCCCTGGTTCTGGTATTGTGTGAGAGGGAAAAGAGCTTCTCTCTATCCATTTCATCCATCCCCTGCATAGTTTTATACATTTCAATCATGTCCCCCCTCAGGCACCTTTTCTCTAGACTAGAGGCCCTAACGCTGTAGCCTTTCATCATAAGGGAGATACCTCAGCCCAGTCATCATTTGAAGCCGCTCTCTACTGCACCTTTTCCAGTTCCACTCTGTCTTTTTTGAGGTGTGGTGACCAGAACTGTATGCAATACTCTAGATGCGGCCTTACCTGGATCATAAAAATCCAGCCCATCAAGGAGGCATACTGGGGATTGAACTCCCAGCCCTGCCTCTGTAGCTAGACACCTGAACCACTGAGCCAACCAGCAATTTAATGTAATAACTTACTGTTTTTCTAGCTGCTGTTTTTAAATAATCTGTAGGCTGCCTTTGGTCTCTCCACTAGGTGACAGCTGGCATAAAAATGAAAATAAATATTTAAAAATTAACCCAATGACCCCTGTAAAATTTTAGAGATGCCATTCTCCACTTGTTTCACATTCCTGAAATGTTCACATAGAAAACAAATACAGTATAGTAACCTGTTGCTGTTTTTTTAAAAAACAATTCTTGACCCTTGAGGTTGGCTGCCACGTTCTTTATAGAAGAGACCTAGGTTCCCACAGCTAAGGTGGCCCTTCTATTTTTCCAAAAGTATAATGAAAAGCAGAGGCTATCTTACTAAATTAATCCCTAATGGGATACCTGTGCCCGACTTCCAGGATTCTGGCCAATGGATATGGAGGACACAAAGACAATGTTATAGCATTTAGATATGACAAGGTTATAAATGCCATTGAATGATTCCATCTGAACCATTTACTGTATACATATTTTTATGCATCGTTTATTCAATAAGGCTTCTATCTGAATGGACTTATACACCCTGCCTATGTAAGCACTCAAGGCTTGTGATAAATCTAATTTGGACTATATTCCAGAATACTGATGTCTTTGAAAAGGGGCACAGTGCCACTTTTGCGAGCTACTCCCAGCTGTATCCGGGATTATTAGAGTGTTATCTTGAACATATTAGGTAGTGGAAGAGAGAGGGAGGACAACTGCCAGACAACCCTAAACCCTTCCACCTCTCTTAAATAAATACCCACTAACAGTACTATTTCCATAGCACTTTTCATGTGGAAGGGGAGTTATATGGTACACTTCTGTCCACTGTTAGAATGAACTGGAGAGAGCAGGGCACTGTTGTTTCCAGAGGGGTAGAGGAAATATTGTAAACTAGCGACGTATGACAAATGCACTGCAAACAGGCTGAGGTGTGTGAAATTAGGCATTTATTGAGTATATGCCAATATAGGGAAAGCCTCCCACAAGAAAAACAAGTTAATGGCTATGTGTCTTGCAAACCAGACACTCTTTCTCAAAAAGTAACATTGTGAATATTCAGGTATTTCAAACGCCCACACCTAAACAGGGTTCTCAATTTAATAAGAATAAATCCTAAATAAACATCTGTTTTGTATTTGGCACGAACATTCCAAGCAAAATTACTATAAGAGTTACACGGCACAAGTAAGTTTTTCAAGGATCCAGTAAATATATGTATTTTGGAAGAGAGAAAGGAAAACAGCATATAGTGCCAATAATCAACAAGAAGAAGTGTTGATGGACTAGTGAGTGACAGTACTGTATTGCTATAACAGACATCAAAACAGGAGTGTGTCGTCTTGTCAGTAGAAGCACCTCTCATGTATTAGTTCATGTTAAAGGCTTCTTGGATGCTTTCTAATGCTTGCTTCTTGGTGATTTTCTTCCAGTCCTCAGGGAGATCAGCTGGGCAAGCTTTATAACGTTTGGCAAACTGCTGGTTGAATTCCTTGAAAACAAACTTCCAGTAGTTTGAGGCAGAGATGCTGGCGTCAGGCTGGATGCGCCAGTCGGGATAGTATTTGCGGTATTCTTTATATGGATGCCATTCTCCGCCGGTATCTACATTTCTGAACTGGGCGTTGGAAATGACATCAGAGGAACATAAGGAGTACAGGAGCTTTTCTGTGTCCACATATCTGTACATGCCTAATCCTTGAGGTCGATGGACGGAAGCAAAGTGTTCTTGGTGATCGCCACCCCCGGCTTCACAGGGAACTTTGCAGAAGGGACACTGTTTCCCACAGCCAAAGACTCGGTTGAAGATCTCATCCTGGGGCTTGAATGAAATCCTTGAAAGCACCTGTTCAATATTCATTTCAAACTGCTCCGAAAGGATTCCGTCTATAATCTCAGGGATATAGGCCTGGACTGCAGTAGAGAAAGATTCAGTCTTGGCAGCATTGTTGAACTTCACGACATCCAGGGAGTCCTTGGAAATGACAAGCTCTTTCCTCATCCCAAGGCAGAAACACTCCAAGAAATCAGACAAAGTCACAGTTTGCTTTGCACCGCCCTCCAGAGCTTCGTTTGTTTTCTTTATCACACCAGATAGGATTTGTCTCTCCAAAACCATCAAGTCTTCTCTCTGCTCGTAGTATTCTAGTAGATGTTCATATATCCAAGATTTGGCAAACCGTTTATAATGGATTATATATTCCTGATACTTATCAAAATTCTCCTCTTCCAGCAAAGTCTTCTGCACAGTGAACTGAAAAAAGCTGCGACTGCCATACTGAATGGACAGTCCGCTGCTGAGAACATCATCTACTATTTCTAGCCCGAGTCTCTTGTAGAGATAGTCCACCAGAGCTGGTCTCAGACACAGGTCACAAAAATCTTTGGCTCTTTTCTGACAAGCATCCTTCTCATAGTAAAGGTCTTTGAAGATGGAAAGATAATGCGGTTTCAGGTTTTCCAGACGTTGATGAGGATTGTTTTCTCTAATGAAGTCATCGTGCATCTTCTGAAAAGCATCGGCTGCCTCTCTGAGAATACAATATTTCAGATCCACCTCAAAGTTAATAGTAACACAGAGTCCCTTCAGTTTCATGTCTTGAAGTCTCTCGTTGACCATTTTCAACAATTCCCAGCAATATGTTTCATCATAGTCCCCTTCCATACTGACTTTCCCTGCAACATAATTCTTACATAATTCAACTGTGCTCATAGCAGAGTCCTCTATTTTCCCTTTGTAATCTTTGAACAGCCCCTTTATTCTTAGTGCCCATGAGGTTTCTAGATACTGCTTTTTCATCGTGAAGACCATCATGTCTGACTGGTGCATTAATTGTTGGAAGATCTGATTTGCTAAGCCACCTCGATGTTCCAAATCTTTTTTTAGCTGAGAGAACACATTTGTATGAATTTTTAGATGAGTTAAATTGTTTGGTGGCAACTCTTCCAAGGTTTCCTTCCACATTTTCTCAAATTCATCCTCTAGTTCCTTAGGACTCAGTTGGTAGTCCTTCTCTTTATATCCTTCTAAGAGCTTGTTTACCTTCTTTTCTATGGTTTTTAAGTACACGGCCTGCATATTGCTGATCTTACCCATTCCCTTACATATAAGAACAATGTGCTGGCACTTATTAATTAAATATCCCTCCAGCTGGTTCCGAAGAAATTTCACACTTCTGATGAAGTCTTCTTTATACTTTTCTACCAGGTGCAAGTTTTCAGCACCACTCTCAAAATAGTTTTGTACACACTGTAATATTTTTTGCTCTCCAGCATCCAGCTTGACGTAAGTATCACGCTTTAATTTATCTACAGCATCAGTTTCAAAATCTTCTGGGGATAGGTTTTGAATAGCGGTATGAGCTTCGGACATCCAGAGGTGCATTTCCTTCCGAAAATCCCATTCCCATTCTGAATACTTTAATGCAAGTTGGTTATAAGCATCAGCCACAAGACTGTTGCGGAAGCTAAAGATAAAATTCTCATGTTTTACAGCACTCCACAAGCTTTTTACCCATTCAACAAACTGAGGGATGTCTTTAGGGGTTCCTTTTTGTGAACAAGTTTCCATGAAATTGAACAGATATCTTTTTAACTCTGATACACTCTCACTGTATCCCAAATTGACTGGAGCCATTGGTGGGACCCCATGCCACAAGCCAGGAATGTACCAATTGTGTTTTTCAGGATCATACTCCATAATATCTGAAAATGACACTTCTTTACATTGTTTTTCCATTCTTGCTGCAGCCTTGGTCATTTCATTGAGCTGCTCCAGGAGGTGTTTTCTGTCCCTCATGTTCTGATCATGGGCAGAAACATCACTAACATTCTGATGCACAAACTGGCAATTAGGCTTATGCCCAATTTCCTCCATCCTCAGAAATGCATGTACCACAATTTGTAAGATGTCCTTCATTTCGGTGGCGTTCTCCATGGCCAAATTAACTATTGTTATATCACTGAGCCCAATAACCAAGGTGGCCAGCTCATTGTCATGTTCATAGCTACCTTCCAGTTTGGCAAGCTCCGGGGCCTTCAAGCCTTCTGTATCTATCACCAGGATAAAATTACAGCCAATTCCTTGCTGCAGATTTTCGGAGACTCTAAGGAGTGTCATGAATGCTCCCCGAGTACATCGACCACTGCTAACAGCAAACTGCAGTCCAAACATGGTATTGAGAAGAGTAGATTTCCCAGTGCTTTGTACACCAAGAACAGTCAGAACTTGCATCCTAGATTTGCCTCCTAGCTTAACATGGAGTTCCATTAGAACATCAGTCACCCATTGCAGTGGAATGTTAGAGGCATCTCCATCCATCAGTTCCATTGGGAATCCTTCCAACATCAGGTCAGCAGCTATTCCCGGCAAATGGACAAATTGCCTTTTGTTCTCCGCCATGTTACCTTCCTTCACCATCATGTATTCTGCCTCATAAAATTGCCCCAGCTCACGCATGAAGTGTTCTACCCCTAAGGAACCGACAGAAATTAATTCATCCAGCCGTACTAATTGTTGTACATCATTTGTAGTGGTGCGACAAATCTCTTTGTATTCTTCCCTTAATTTTAAAAGGTTAGCTCTTGCAACACGATCTAAGCTGAACTTCATCCATTTTAGAAAGTACTGTTTTTCCACTGAGCCAAGATTATGTATTCCATTAATAAACTTTGTTATCCCATCGGTAAGATCACACCGATTCTGTTGCGCACGTAACCCTATCCATTTCTCTCTTAATTGAGATTTGTAATCTTCTGCCGGTGTGTCAGCTTGCCCTTTCATCCTACACAGCTCTTTCTCCACTTGAGCCACATTTCTCCACAAGTCTCCCTGGAGCTTCAGCATTTCCTTCTTATAGACTGCCACATCTTTAATTTCTTCAACAATTTCCTTAGCATGCACAGCCCCATTCTGACATTCCTTTGAATTTTCATCTATCTCAATTCCCAGTTCTTGGCCTATGCTGGCCATTTCTTCCACATTCACCTCTTTTTGATGGGTGTGTACTATATTCCGCATGGCGGAACGAAGTTTCTTCACAAATTCTGTGATATTTTGGATCTTTTCCTTCACCAGCAGCTGTGATTTGTTCAAATTCAGTACTGGTACAAGTTTGTTAAGGAACTCCAATGTCTCCCTTGATTTCCTCCCTTCAGTATTCAAGATAAAGTAGTATTTAGATCTCAGTTCATGGAGGCTCAGTAACGTATTATATTCTGTGTCAGAAATATCCTCAACAAGAATGAACACAGCTGAGGAAACTTCTGTTAAGAAACTGAACTGCAGCCAGTGTGACTCCATGTTTCCACGTAAGTTTGTTATTGCTACGGGCTCTGGAAAAATATCTGAGTTTTCTCTCCCACCAGGAAAATACCAGGAAATTTCTACTAGACCGTTACTGATTTCTCGAGGGGCATTTCCACACTCTGAATCATGGTGAACAAAAAAATCATGATGGTGCTGATGAGAGCTAAGGACCTCATTAATAAGCTTGGATTTGGAGAGACAGGAGTTTCCGAGCCTCACAAAAGAAATGGTTGGCATAGAAATACGCACCAAACTCTCCTCTTTGAAGCCTTTGCTCTCAGCTATGGAATGGGGTCTCCATTTTCTCACAATGTCCCTCATGGCCCAGAGCATGAAGGAGCATTTGGAGTTGGCAAGGGGAGGTAAGATCAGAGGAAGAGCAAACTGGCACATGGACATTTTGAGCAAGATCTCCTGCCGAAGCAAACTATCAGAGCAAAGCAAGGTAGCACAAAGAACATCAAGGGGGTTCACAGAAACTTCAGTGTCCACTTCCATCAGAGAGAGCAATTGATCCCCTACATCATCAACCTCCTCATCTGAACCTTCCTCAGCCTTTGAGGCAAGGCCTGTATTCCTTGCTGTCCCGTTGAGGGCCATCAGTTTCCTCAAAAAGTGCCAAGGCAGATCTTCCAGTTTCTGTGGAGCTGGAGTTTCGAGACTTTCTAACTCAATTTCCAGAATTTCCCCCACAGTGAGCTTTTGCCTGCTTCGTTTGCTGAGGCCTAGCTTCCTCAAGAAAGGCTCAACTGTCCCTGTGGGAAAAAGAAAAGAAAACAATTACTCTCCATAAAGTATGAACAGCAACCTTGCTTGGTAGCCATATTCCTTTGGGGGGAAATTCAGAAATTTCAGAGGCATGGAACCAGAGCTTGAAACATTTTTTTAAAGGAACTCATTGCACTATCCATTCCTTCAAGGCAGACACATGGTTGTTATCGTTAAATCCATTTGCAGAAATGTGTGCAATTAATTACTGAGAGACCAGATAAACAGAAGGAAACAACTTTCCCTTTAGTGGCCAATCTTGATACTGCAACTTGAAAATACTTAAGATAAAGCAAAGCAATACTTCATCTTGCCATTTTGGATTAATAAGAGAATGGCACAAAACTTAAAAATCTATTGCCAAGATTCTTGGGGAAAAATACCTTTAAATTTTCCTTTATAATTAACTTTAGAAACTAGTGAGATAACATTGCTCATTACAAAAAAAAGTAATGTTTTAAATTCATTACATTGCTTGTGAATCAGAACTTAGTTCCAAACATGGCATAAAACAGAAGCTCTGCCTCTTCTTTTCCTTCAAAATAAAAGGTGCTGACGCATAGTTTAATTCCACTTCAGGGAAAAGAAAAACTGGTTACTTAGTGGACCAGGGGAAAAATTTAGTCCATACTTGTAAAATGTATGTTCATTAAAATGAACAAAATTGGGAATGGAGTGGAATAGTAGGGAAGGGCTAAGATCTGGTCGCACTGAGATTACATTAATATATTGTTTATCTAGCCTGGATACAGCCTAAAGTTGTGCTGTCAGATATGCTTGTTTTAAAGTTTAAAAAGGTTAAATAAAATCCCCCACTGTAATTCTCCAGTACAAAATACATTTTAACAAACCAGTGGTCCACTCTTGCTTTGGTTATGTTAACTATTAACCTGAAGCGAGGACACTAGCATTTTACAAGAAAAGGACATCACAGATTATATTTTTCAGTTCTTTGCTTGTGTCTTATGAAAAAAAATCATATCTACCCAGAACTTCAAATTATGGTGTCCTTGGTAACTAAAATAAGGAATTTTCTCTTCTCCAGCCTGAAGACACTTTGTCAAACATGTATCATCACCCAACACCATTTCTTCCACTTTCATATTTTTATACTTGCACTGGCAGGGGTACAAATCTACCAAGAAGACTGCTTTTCAGTTTACTACAGGACAAAATACAGTGGTGCCTCGCTAGATGATGATAATCCGTTCCACTGAAATAGCTGTTTAGCGAAATCATCGTCTAGCGAAAAGCATTTCCCCATTGGAATGCATTGAAACCTGTTTAATGCGTTCCAATGGGGAAGAATCGTCGTTGTCTAGTGAAGATTGGCCATGGGAAAGCTGCTTTGCGAATTGCCGATCAGCTGTTTAAATAGCTGTCTTGTGAAGCTTAGGTCCCAAAAACACCCGTTTTGTGAGCACGGAGGGAGCTGTCAAAATTGTTGTCTAGCGAAAATTGGTTTGCGAAGCAGGGACCAAACATTGTCCAGCGAAATTCCTCCATAGGAATCACTGTTTTGCGAATCGCTATAGTGATCGCAAAGTCAATGTCTAGCGAAAAAACTGTCATGGGGGGTAACTGTCTAGCGAGGCTGTCATGCGGGGTAACTGTCTAGAGAGGCACCACTGTACACCCTTACATGCATTTCATCCCAGAGAGCTACAAACAATTCCAACAAGAACAAAGGTAGAAGACACGAAAATAGACCAATGTGGCTTCCCCCCCAAAAAAAAACCTCAAGAGAGGACTGGAAAATAAAAAAGGACACATATAGGAAGCGGACGGAAGGTCAGCCCACAAAGGAAGAGTACAGAAAGGTAGTGATCTTACTTCATTCATAGGGTTTGAGGAGGCAGCATTTGTACCGAGCTTCACTCCCTTTTAAACTTTTTTTAAAAAGTTTGCAGCCTTTTTTTTGGTCTTTTAATCTTTTAAGAAAAAAAACTTTTAAAGCTTTTTTATAACTAAGCCTTTACCTGTTTGTAATGACCTACTAAAGAAAAGTCAGGACTTTTAATATTTGACCATACTAAGCAAGGGATAGGCCTGGCTGCAGCGTTTCTGTCATAGTCCTCTCCTACTGCCGTTTTTTAAGTTTCTTTAGGAATTACAAAACCTTCATACAACTTTTATCAAGGTACAACTGGGAGCTGTCTGATAACCATGGTTACTCCTTCTAATAAGCGATAAGTGCCCTGGGAAAGTTGGAATATCCTTCTGAGGCTTGGGAGGAAGCAACACTTCCATCCATGATTTACAGGCAGCCGCAAAAAAGTTGCATTTCAGCCCAGAATTAATGTTACAAGGAACTACAACTTTGTGAAGTTTTAGTTCTACCCTTGGTGTTTAAGCATAAGGCCAGGCTGTCCTTACTCTTTCAATGTATTTTACAGAAGCGTCGGAAATAAATATTGGTAATTTTTCATAAGAACTTCACATGTTATGAGGAAAAACATTAAGTCCGTGTGAGCAGTACGATATTGACAATTTCATGCCAAAGCAATCCTTGCAATAACATCTAATGTTACATACTATTATTCAAGGGAAAACATCTTACTCCAAATCAAACATAATATGAAGAAAGTTGATAAAAGAGTATCATAATACTAGAATTTAGGATCATCCAATGAAGCTAAATAGCGGGAGATTCAGAACACACATTCTTCAGTTAAATTATGGAATTTGCTGTCACTAAATTTGGTTACGGGAAACGGCACAAAAGGAATCAGGCAGGATGCTAGGCTGGGTAAGACTTCAGTGTGGTCCAACATCATTCTTTCATGCATCCCCTCGATTCCACCTCATAATTTCCTTCAGAAAGTTGCTCAGTACCAGGAGAATTCTTACCTTCCGGAATGTCTTCTTCCATGTCCTCTGGTTCAGTCTCTGGTGTATTGCCTACATTTTCTAATGCTTTTTATAAAATAAACAAAGTGGAAGAAATAGAAAATTAAGTGGAAAATCAGTATCACACTTTTCAAGATATGAGAATACAAAGATAAATATCATGCAACAAGGGACCGGTGTTTTGTCAATTTGTTTTGTGTCCTAGAGTTACAGTGGTGCCTCGCAGGACGGGCACGCCATTTAACGATGAAACCGCATTACAACGATCTTTTTGCGATCACAATTGCAAAACGATGGTCTGAATGGGGTTTTTTCGCTTTGCGATGATCGGTTCCCTGCTTCGGGAACCGATTCTCGCAAAATGACGATTTTAAAACAGCTGATCGGCGGTTTCAAAATG